AGGGACCAGGACTGCAATAGACACACCATGGGGTCTGCAGGCTTATGAGAAATCCTAAGTTCTCGGTTCTGAAAGGCTGCAGCCCAGCCTCTGGCTTCCCAGGTCTTTCCAGGCCCTGGCCCTCCACTGCCGCTGTGTTCCTCCTACACTGTACAGGTTTTTGTGTCTCTTTCTCTCTTCCTTGCAATCAAGTCTGTGAGCCCCATGTGGGCAGAGATCCAGCTTCCATGTTTGCAGGCCCAGGCCCTGGTGCTGCTCTGGCCCAGGGCAGCCTGGAGAAGATGGTTGTTTGCATTTGGCATTTGTCAGTGTCTGAAAACCAGAGGAGCCACGCCGTGGAGGAGAAGCCGGCGGAGTTCTGGTATCTTGCTGCAGCTGGTGTTGTGAATCAGGCCGACGAGCAGCGCATCCTCTTACCCGGCTATTTCACGACACCAGGGTTGCATCATACCCATTCTCTCCAGGCGAGCCTCGTGGGACCAGGTCAGACGGACACAAGGACTTGGGGAGAGGGTGGGGTGCGAGGAGGCTGTGCGACAGTGCAATCCCTGCAGCTTACTGGATTCCTAGAATCGCCTGGGGAGCTTTAAGAGAATATCAATGCCTGCCCCTCCCCGCTCCTCCCCCAGGCTCACTGGCTGTCCATGGTGGTGCCAGACTCGGCACTTGGTAGGGGCCGCGTGCAGCCAGGGTGAGCCCAAGACTGAGCTGCGTTGTTGTCCGGTTTAGCCCGCCTGTTGCCGTAGCATCAGCCAGCCAGACCCCTCCTGTCAGGACTTCCTACTCAGTAAAGATACCCTCATTCCCCCTGGAGTCCTCCCTGGTCCCTGCTTCCCATGAACCCCAGCCCCACACACATCCACATGCCGGTTCTGTCCTCTACCTTCAGAGTACACGTCTGCATCCAGCTCCCCATGCACTTCCTGGCCTGGCCATGCCCCGCCCCTGCAGCGGTCCTCACTGGTCTCCCTCAGTCTGTGCCGAAGTGATCTTTGAGGATGATATTTCTGACTGTCGTGGAACAAGACACTTCCCACCCCGGCCTATGACCCGGACATCCCTCTTCCATGTCTCAAACCCCATCTCCTTGGTCCCTCTACCCCAGCTCCATGGGCCTCCCTGCCCTTCTTGAAGTTACAGTACCCTCCCCTGACAACCCCTTAACACCTGCTTGCACGAGGGCGGCTCCCGTCATTGGCGATCAGCTCATATTTTTCATCCTTAGAGAGGCCTAATACCAGTCCTGAGAAAAACTGTTGTTTCCTTAATAGTACTTACCAGCAAATGTGACAATTACTGATTTGTCGTTTGTCTCTCCTACTAGAATGTAAGCTCCTAGTGGGCAGGGTCTCTGTGTTGTTTCCGGTGGGGCCTCCCGTGCCCAGCACAGGACGTGGTATGCAGAAGACAGTAAATGTCGTGGAATAAAGAAACAATCAGACCCTTCCAGCCTCATGTCCACCCTTTCTTCCCTCCCCCAGCCCACAGCACCACAGCCCAGTCCCACCCACCTTGTCCTCTGCATGACCAAACCCACCCTCTCTGCTCCCCTCTCCTGGGCAGCCCCTCTCCTCTGCTGGACAGATGCTTTGTCTCCTTGCTGGGCTGTCTGCCAACCTAGGCGCTGGGGTCCCGGGCCTCAGACACAGGAGGAGCACAGTGGTCGCTGAGGTGCCTCTGTGGCCACAAAGACAGGAGGCCGAGGGGCTCAGAGGTTCTCATGGCCCCTCCTCTCACTCCTTTTCTCTCTGCCCCTTCCCCTCCCCTCCTCCCTGCCCCAGCATCTGGGGTGTTTGCTTCTAGGGCAGTCCCCAACCACTGAGCTTTCTGGTCCTTGCCTGCTTCACTCTCCTTCCTTCTGGGAGCCAGGGAAGGCAAGGGCCCTGTGCCCCTCAGGGGCCGACGTGGATGGGCATGATGGAGGTGTCATTTCTGCTTTGCTGCTGCAGAAGCTGAGGCTCACGCAGGTCAGGTGACTTGTCCAAAGTCACAGGAAAACTGACAGAACTGAGACTCCCCAAGGCCAGATCACAGGGCTCTGCTCAGGGTACCAGCAGCCTCCGACCTGCAGGGCTCTGGGGGCCATCCAGCCTGTGGGTTCCCTGGAAGCTGAATTCTGGAAGGCAGGGACTATTTGACCCTGCACAGCATGCTCTTACCCTGTCCAGAAGAGTGCTCCTGTGATCATGTCTCAGTTAAAGTTCCATTCAAATACAAGCTTCCCCTGTCCTGGGGCATGTGTGTGTGTGTGTGTGTGCGCGCAAGCGCTGGTGTGCATGCGCTCACACACACACAGGGGTCTGTGCTTTGGGAGGAGGTGTCAGAGAGTCCCTTTAGCTTATACTACTGATAAGCCCTTTCCAGGATCCTGCTTAAACTCGATCCCACCCCAGGGAGATGCCGAGGGGCCCGGAAGGGTTCTTGAGGTGGCACTTGCTCCCCTCCAAGGCTGATGTAGGCCCGGGAGAGGAAGTGACTTGCCCAAGGTCACCCAGCAAATTTGTGGCTCCTGCTCTGGCCACAGCCTCAGTACCGCTGGAAAGAGCCCTGGCTCCTTCCTGTCCTGAGATCTTAATCAGGAATTTTCCACAGCTGCCCAGGGCAGGTGTAGGCATGGTGTAAGGGACTCTGGGGCAGCTGTGAGTTTTGCCAGTCAATTGGCAGTTTGAGAGTGAGAGGGTGATAAAATCTGCCCCAGGGCCCCAAGGGAGGGAGTGAGTGAGTAACTCTGCAGGGAACCGTGCCGTAATCCCCTCCCCAACACCCAGGGTGCAGCCTGCAGAGACCGGAGCGTGGAGCCAGCTAGTCCTTGGCCCGGAGTCCTTGTCTTCAAGGCCTCAGCCCTGCTGGCAGCTGGCACGGGGGCGGAGGCCACATCCCTGCAGATGGAGGGGCTAGAAATCCAGGGCAGGAAGGGAAAGAGGAGCCTCCGTGTCATTAAGAGGAATCCTGAGAAGACTCTTTTTTAAAAAATTAATGTGTGTTGAATTTTTAAACTTTGTAAAAGGTACAATAGTAATCATAACCTTTGGGGTTTGTCACTGAGGTCTAGGTTCTCTCAGGTCACCTCTTAGTGTCCACTTAGAGCAGAGCCCCAGGCTACAGGAAGCCAGCGAAGTCCTGGGGGGTGGTTCCCTCCTCTGGCCAGTTGTCAGCCAAGGGTGTCTACACAGACACTCTTCGCCCTCCGTGGTTCTGGGCCCCCTCCTCACCCAGTCAACAGCCTTTCTCGAGCACCTCCTTGGTGCTGTTCTAGTTGCTTGAAGTTGTGGCTGAACAAAACAGGGCCAAATCCCTGCCTTTGTGGGCTTCCATTGTACACCCTGGATGAAACGTAGGGCCCTCTCCCCAGAAGAACGCCCTGAGGTTTGCAAACTTGTTTGTGAGGCTGGTGCTCAGGTACATGTCTATAATCCCAGCTCTGCGGGAGGCTGAGGCAAGAGGAGCTGGGCAAGTTAGCAAGAACCTGTCTCAAAATGGAAAAAAAAAGAAAAATAGAAAGGGATGGAGATGTAGCTCAGTGGTAGAGTATCCTTGGGCTTAATCCCTAGTACAGTACTGCAAAACAAAACAAAAACAGAAAGACTTGTCTATGATTTTGTGGGCTCCAGCTCCCTCATCCTGCAGGGTGACTCCCCAGCACACTAACAGCCCGAGCTGTTCCCACCTGCCGCCTTCTGCCCGGCCCAGCCTCCAGCTGCGCACACCTGTCCTGGGCAGCCCCAGCCCAGAGCAGTGACGAGCAACATGAACCAACTGTACCTCGCTAGGCTCCCATGAGTGCTGCCTCTCTGTGGGAAGTCGGGGAGCCCTGAGGACTCTGAGGCCCTCAGAGGAGGTCCCCTGGGGAACTTCTGTGAGCTCTGAGAGGCGGGGCTAGGAAGGGAAAGAAAGTGAGCCCACCATCTCTCTCTGTGGGGCGGTTGGAGCCTGAGTATAAGCCGAGAGGTCCCAGCCGCAAGAGCTGGTCGTGGCCTTCTGGTCTCCACTTGGAGACTCCAAGAGGGCCACTCATCCTCTGAGACTCAGGTCAGGGGCCCTTCTGGAGGAAGCTCGCCTGCCTGGTTCCAAACTGACCCTCCTCCTCCTCCAGGGACCTCTCCCCTACTGCTGCGCTCACTGCGCGGTGGGGGTGGGATGTTTCCCAGTCCAGCCCCCCACTCACTCGGCAGCACCGAGTGCAGACACAGCGCCCCGTCTGTCCCTGCCTCCCACATCCCCCCAAGCAGAAAGGCTGTTGGAGAGGTGCAATGAGTCGGTGATTTTCTATGAGCTTCTAGGCCACCCCACCCTTGGGCTCAGCACCTGTGGGCAGAAGGGAAGGAGGTAGCACCGGACAGAGTGTGGAGTAGGCTGCGGTGCCGACTCCAAGCCTCAGGGGCAGCTTGCAGCTGCTGGCCTTTTAGAGTCAGGACAGGGAGCCAGTCCTTCCTCCCCTCCCTTAGGGGAAGAGTGGCCACAGCTGGGGTCCTGGACATAGGGCAGACATGGAGAGCTCTCCCAGCAGCTAGGAGAATATGCCCTTCATTTCCGGGGACACCTCAAGCTTCTACTCTCTAACAGCCAATCTCTCAAAACCCTGGTCCACCTCTTTCATCCATCTACAACTCATTTCAGTGGCTGTCCTTGTTGCAGTGGCCTTGAGCTCCGGGACAGAATTCACTCCCATTGCCACTGTGCATTCAAGGGGCGGCCTCCAGGTGCTGGCAAAACCAGATCCGGACCTGGGCCAGCACTGGGACAGGGGACTGGGCTCTGGGTGCAAGTGTGGTCCTTCGCAGGTCCCTCGGGGTCCTTGTGGTGACTGTTCTTTCCTGGGTCCGTGTCACCAGTCTAACAGTGGGCAGGGCAGGAGGGACACGTGTTCTGACCCCACCTGTCCAGGGTCGCTGCTTACCAGCTGTGGGCGGTTTGGGCCACCCTCCCGCCTTTTCCACCCCTGGAGACTCAGCCTATAAAGCTACCCTGCATGTCCTTGCTGACCCTGGACCCCTACCTGAGCCACAATGGCAGAGCTGCCCACAACGGACACGCCTGGGAACCCTGCTCTGTGCAGCGGGCGCTTCACCATCAGCACTCTCCTGGGGGGTGACGAGCCCCTATCAACCACCTCCTATGACACCAGCCACCCCAACCACCTGACCCACGGCAGCACCCTCTACATGCGCACCTTCGGGTACAACACCATTGACGTGGTACCTGCCTACGAGCACTATGCCAACAGCGCCCTGCCCGGCGAGCCTCGAAAGGTCCGGCCCACGCTGGCCGACCTGCACTCCTTCCTCAAGGTGAGCACACCTCAGAAGCCTGGCCACCTCCCTGCTGTGTGACCTAACGCCTCTGAGCCCTGGGGCTGTCCCCTGAGCTGTAAGAATGGGTGAGGGTCTTTCTCAAGGACTGAGAGGCCCAGATGGAACGGCAGGAGAGGGAGCTGTGAAGCTCTGGGCACTTGTAATGCTTCTTGTCCAGGCACTGGCAACTCAAGGGTAGGGTGGGCTACCTGGGGAGGAAGTGAGCCTCCCATCAGGCATAGCATGCAAGCAGGCTGCACACCACTGACACAGATGGGGAGGAGAGAGCAGGAAAGGTGTTCTCAGGCAGGGGCTTGCTGGACTGCGAGGGGTGCTGATTGTCACAGCTTCTGTGTAGCCTCAGTTTTCCCATCTGACATTGACCGTTCTTGATTCTGGGCTGAGACTTTAATTACAGGATTCCTCCCTACCCAGAGCAAATCTCCATCCTGACCCAGAGTGGCTATACACAGCCCTGTGATCTCCCAGGGCTGCTGAGCTGAAGCCCCAGCAGGGGCTGCAGTCACTTGGGCACACATGGGGGGACCTGCTGCACTGGGATGGAGGCCTAGGTTCCAGTCCCTGCGTGGCCCCGGGCATGCTGTTGCCCCTCTGTCGGGTGACAGTAACCCTGCCGCACCCCTCAGGCTGTGTGTCTACCTCACTGGGTCCCAGACTTCTGCTGCACAACAGGAAGCAGGTGCCATGATCAGGAGTGCCCAGCGTGCCCAGCCTCCCGTGTCACCTGTCCCCGCTGCCACTGTGGTCTTTCTCAAAGCCCCAGGAGCAGCTCCACACCACCGAGGCTGAGTCTGGGGCAGCCCGGATATGGCACAGTGGAGCAGGCGGGAGACTGGCCGCAGAGACCCAGCCCGCAGCACCCATGCGGGCCTGACTTGTGGTCTCTGGACCCCAGCAGGAAGGAAGCCACCTGCACAGCCTGGCCTTCGACAGCCGGCCCAGCCGGGAGCTGACCAACGGGCTGGTGGAGGATGAGGCGGGCACCCACAGTGAGAAGAGCCCCGGGGAGCCTGTGCGCTTCGGCTGGGTCAAGGGGGTGATGGTGAGTAGCTGAATGCTGGTGAGCGCACCGAGCTGCATCCCGGCTGAGCTGTGACCCTCAGGCTCTAGTGTACAGAGTAGACCCAAGGCCCAGCCTGGGCCTCAGTTTCCCCCCCTCTGCATGTCGCTTCAAATTTTCTCTGACTTGGGCTTTCCCAACCTGCTGTGTGTGCCCTAGGCTGAGACTCAGGCCTGAGGCAGATCTCTGCTAGGTCGCACTAGTTGTATGGTGGCGGGCAAATCACAAATCACTTCACAACTCACTGCCTTAGTTTCCTCATGTGTGAAACAAGTATTAAATGACTTAATAAATGCAAAGCCTTCAGGTCAGTGCCTGCCAGGGAGTTATACAAAGAGACTGTTAGCCAGGCATGGTTGATGCACGCCTGTAATCCCAGATGCTTGGGAGGCCGATATGCAGGAGGATTGCAAATATGAGGTCAGCCTGGGCCATTTAGTGAGGCCGTCTCAAAATTAAAAGTAAATGGAAAGGATACGGAGTTGGCTTAGTGGTTAGAGCGCTTACCCAGCCGTGGGTTCAATTCCCAGTACCGCAAGAAAGAGAAGAAAAAATGGAAGAAAAAGAAAAAGGAGAGTGTTTTCCAAAAGAACCACCAGAGGGCAGCACTAAACACACAGTATATCAGCTGCTGGGGTCGTGTTGTTTTTTCATCCTGCACGATGTGAAGTCTAAGGTTTACTTTAGTTTACAGCACGAATAAGCTCCCAGATAGTAAAAAATCAAGTGAACTCTGTTCTGCAAGACATTGTAGGGTTCTGCAGAGGGGCCCTGCATGCACTGTGGAGAAATCTTTAGTCCACTCTGAGAAGCAGGGTGCCCAGTTCTGCTCGTCATGCTGCCATCTTTATAGCTGTGAGTAGGCTACGACTGTTTCTCCATCTAAATTCTGAGCCCACTACAACTCCTAGAGTCATTTTCAGGGTCTGCGTTTCCCCCCGGAGGTGCTTGCCACGCCTGGAGTGGTTCTGTTTAGCGTCTCAGAGCAGGTGGAGGACCTTGGGAACCCCTGCCACTTGGTGCAGCTGAAGACCGTACCAGGCCTTTTCACCCGGGAACATTCACCTCCGTCTCGGCTTCTCACTTTGCATTCACTTGAAAGCTGAAGTCACAGCAACCTGAGCTCTATTTCTGCTTGTGAGTGGGGAGTTGGCTCAGCTGGTGTTTGCTGAGCTTCCCCAAAAATGCCACGCCCAGGCCAGTAGCTGGCTGCTGGGGCCGTAGCTAGGTCTGGCGGGCCAGGATCCTGGTTCGAAATAGGAGGAGGGCCCCCTCCTGATCCAGTGAGCCAGAGGGCCTGGGCTGTCAGGGTGGGTAAAGCACAGAGAACTCAGTGTCTCCCTAGGAGGTTAACCTATGAGGTTGATGCAGTGCCATGACCAGCAGCAAAGGACTTCTGTGCTTGGCCATGGGATAAGCGGCCAGCTCAGAGAGCCGCTGACCTCACTGTCCACGCAGATCCGCTGCATGCTTAACATCTGGGGTGTGATCCTCTACCTGCGGCTCCCCTGGATCACGGCACAGGCGGGCATTGGTGAGTGGCATCCTGGGAGAGGACGGAGGTTTGTGGAGGCTCAGAGAGGGGCAGTGAATGAGTAGATTCCTCCGATGGCTCCTCACCTGGGAAACACCTTGACTGAGTCTTGGGGCACCCATGTTCACCCCGCACAGTCCTGACCTGGATCATCATCCTGCTCTCCGTCATGGTGACCTCCATCACCGGCCTCTCCATCTCAGCCATCTCCACCAATGGCAAGGTCAAGTCAGGTGCGCCCCAGGGCCCTACCTTGTGGGCTCCCCACCCATGGGATACCCCAGTTGCCCCCGTAGTTGTCAATGAGGGCTCCAGGCAGGCTCCCCACACTATTAGATGGACTCAGTCACCTCCTGCCCAGTGTCCCCTGGCCACCTCCCTGAGCCCCGCCTGGCCAGATGATTCCTCTGGTTTCGTGGCTCCCCACTCTGGCCCTGGTAGGTGGCACCTATTTCCTCATCTCCCGGAGTCTGGGCCCAGAGCTGGGGGGCTCCATCGGCCTCATCTTCGCCTTTGCCAACGCCGTGGGTGTGGCCATGCACACTGTGGGCTTCGCTGAGACTGTGCGAGACCTGCTGCAGGTGAGGCGGGGCTGGGCCCGGGGCTGCCCTACTATCCTCCCCATTTGGCTGGCCTTCCTCCCTGCTGCAGATTTCACCCATCAGGGACCAAAGCCACAGGCCGGTCACTGCAGGTGACAATGACAATCTCACCAAATCAAAACCACCCTCATAAAACCACACTTTGCCCTAGGGCCATGTTGTCCCGTTCCAGGCAGAGCTGCCCTGGGGGAATCTGTGGGCTGTGAAGGACGTTGGGTTTGGGTTTGGGTCAGAGGAACCTCAATGAAGTGGATCCTGGAGGTGTGGATTGTTCAGAGGGTGGCACACAACCAACCTGTCCCCTGCCAGGAGTACGGCACGCCCATCGTGGATCCCATCAATGACATCCGCATCATTGGCGTGGTCACTGTCACTGTGCTGCTGGCCATTTCCCTGGCTGGCATGGAGTGGGAGTCCAAGGTGAGGAGCAGAGTCATAGCCCTGGTCGTGGGCCCTGGTTCTGCCTCTTCTGATGTGTATTAGCCAGGCTTCAAGTTCTGCTGCTGTGACAGAGACCCCACCTGACAGCACCTTCAAATAGAGCCTTCATTTCTCTCTTATGGAACAGTCCAGGTGGGCATGGTCTTCCGCTGGGAGTTGGACACTCCGACTCCTTCCATCCTGTGGCTCTTCCATCCCTCAGGTGTGGGCCCTTGTTCACCTAGTCCAGGTGGCCACCATCATGATGTCCTCAGTCCAGCTAGAGAGAATGAGAAGACGGGTGAAATAAAAGGGAGGGAATTCCCATTCTCTTTCCCTTTATCATACAAGCTGGGAGTTGCCTGTATCACCCCTGCTCACATCCCAGTGGCTAAATCTTGGTTTTGCAGCCCCTTGTAGCTGCAAGGGAAGCTGGATAGTATCATCTTCACGGAACCATGTATTCAGTCAAAAGTCAGAGGTTTAGGGCAGAAGTACTGGGTTACAATTGGCATACTTGGCCAAAAGACGACCTCTAAGCTAGATAGAACCTGGCTTCTGCACCTTCTGGCTCCCTCATCCTCTGACCTCCCTCCAGCAATGCTGGCCTCCTTGAAAGTACTAAGCTTAATTGCCAGATCATTCTATGCTTCCCTCATCTTCCTCCTTTATATATCTGCAAAAAAGCTTATTTCTTGAAGACACTGTCTCAGGTTACCTTGCTAAAGCAGCTCCAACCCAATCTCAGTGCACTCCTAAGTTCCTCCTACATACTCATTAGCCAGGACGAGAGACCTTGGTCATGCTGTTCACTGCCGTGCTCCCAACTCCTTGAACAGAGCTCCCTGTGCAATGGGTGTGAGTGAAAGTCTGAATGAATAATGGCGTGAGGGACCTGGGCAAGCTCGTCCCTGCTGGGGCTCCCTGAAGGTGTGGGACCACAGTCTGACCCCTGGGGTCCTTTACCCCCAGGCCCAGGTGTTGTTCTTCCTTGTCATCATGGTCTCCTTTGCCAACTACTTGGTGGGGACACTGATCCCCCCCTCTGAGGACAAGGCCTCCAAGGGCTTCTTCAGCTACCGGGGTATGTATGTGCAGGGTGGGCTCCAGACCACAGCTCTGGGAACAGGGATAGTTTGTCCATAATTTGGCCCATTGTGTGAGCAGCAGAAAGATGGGATCCCCCATTGCTATGGCCGGGAGCTACTTGGGAAGCTGACTGCCTGCCTGGCCAGGCCCAGCTAAGGGACCAACCCTCCAGGTGGCCCTGACTCAGGTGTTGGTTTTCCAGGTGACATTTTTGTTCAGAACTTGGTGCCTGACTGGAGGGGTGTTGATGGCAGCTTCTTCGGGATGTTCTCCATCTTCTTTCCCTCTGCCACGGGCATCCTGGCAGGAGCCAACATCTCCGGGGACCTCAAGGTGAGCAGAATACTCGTCCCTCCTGTGTCCTGGCGCTGTGGGGGCTGTAAGCAGACTCGCTCCCTGACACCAGGACCTGCTGCACGCCACTGAGTGTGGTACTGAGGCCAGAGAGGGGGTCAGAGCTAACACCCCATCCAAGCCAGGTCAGTCCTTTGCAGCTCCATGCAGATCAGTTTGTGAGGCTGTTGACTGATTCATACCAACTGAGCTTTAGGCCTTGCAAGACACCCCAAAATGGGGCTTCCAGGGCTCTCAGCCCGGAAACACCTTCACTGAGCTAATCTCCTTCCACCTCCCTCTACTGCTTGGGACAGGCAGCTCCTTGGCTTGGCTGTAGCACACCTGTCCAGCCCCAGCCCTGAGCACTGTCCCTGTATCCATGGCCCTTGCTCAGCCCCAAGATCTGTGCCCCATGTCGCCCTCATCCATTTGACTCTGTTTTGCCTCCCAAAGTTCTGTCCCTCTTCCAAATACCTCCTGCAGCAGCTCTCCCGGGCTGTCCTCCCGTCAGGGTTCTCCCAGTGTAACCATGTCAACCCCTGTGTTCCTGTTCCTAGCTCACAGTCTGACACAAGCTGGGTGTACAGGGCATTGTTGATTAGACAGTGGTGAAACACAGTATCAGAGCATAAGTACGAAGTGTCCTCAAGAAGTGGAGAAGGACAGGCTGATGTTGGCAGGGGCTGGAACAAAACGCCTGCGTGCGGGGAGGTGGGGTGGAGCTGGGCTTTGAAAGATGAGAAGCTGATGGGGCCTTTGCCAGCAGGAGGCTCTGAGGTGACTGGAAATCACAGCTAACACTCGCTCCCACTCTCCTGGTCTACCTACGCGGTGCTCCTTGATGGTTTTTCTAAGTGGATTAAATTATAAATTGGAGACAATCCCAAAACCAACCTGGCTCTAGCAGGGTCTGCCCCAGGACACCTACTGTAGGGCCTGGAAGCTGGAGTATTTGTCCGGCTTCTGTTCTTTCTCTGGGAATTGATCTGGATGCCTCCTCGAGCATCTTCGGTTACCATCAGCCCAGGGTGCAGGCATCAGGCCAGGCAGCTCTTTCTGAGCTCCCGACGTAGGCATTCCCTCTGTCCTCGGTGTCTTCAGCCTTGGCTCTGCTGATCCTGAGGGTCAGTGCGCTCTGTAGCAGAGCGGTCCCCATGTGTGAGTCTTTGGGCAACTCCCTCACGACCTCTCCGGGGCTCAGCCCCCCAGCTGGACAATAGGACTCATACAGCCCAGCCCTGCATGGCGGTGGTGAGGATTTGAAGAGCTTTTTTTGTGTCAGATGCTCAGAACAGTGCTGGGCATAGAGGAGTGCTGAGAGCTCCTTGGCGTCATTGTTATTTGTACCGTGAAACAGTCAAACAGGCTTCTGAGTCACTTTTCTCGTCACTGAGACATAATATCCGACTCCCAAACTTAACGGCGGAGAGGGTTATCCTGGCTCATGTTTTTCAGAGGTTTTAGTCCCTGGCTGGCTCCAAAGAAGAAACAGCATGGCAGGGGGGCAGAGAGTGAAGGGAGAAGCTAGGAAGAGAGACGGACTCTCCACATTGTGTCCTCGAGGCCTACCTCTTCCGACCAGACCCTGTTTCTTGATAGCAAGTCAGCTATCAGCCCCCAGAATCCAACTACCTTCCAAAAGCCCGGCCTATGAGTGCATGAGGCTGTTGGGGGATGTCTAGCCATAAATCATAACATCACCCAGACCCAGAGAGGTTCCAGGGCCGACTCGGGCCACACAGATGGCAGAGAAACTAGAATGCAAGTCTATGAAACAAAAGCTTCCATGTAAACAACCACTGCATCACTCAACACATATATCATGTGTTGTCCCAAGGGATGTCCATGTGTAGGACACGCCCACACAGGTTGAGGGCTCTGTGTTCCTTCCTGCAAATTCCCATAAACTGGCTGATTTAAGACAGCAACAATTTATTCTCTTGCAGTTCAGGAGCTTGGATATCCAAAATCAAAGTATTGACAGGGCAGAACTCCCTTTCAAGTCGCTTGGGACCAGTGCCTCCTGGCCTCGTCTGAGCTCTAGTGGGTCCTGACAATGGTGTCCCTTGGCTTGCGGCTCATCTAACCTCTGCATTGCTGTTACCACATGGCCTTCTTTCCTCCGTGTTTCTGTGTCCTTTCCTCTTTCAGAATGATACCAGTGATTGCATGTGAGGCCCACCTTAATTCAGAATGACTTCATCTTAACTAATTACACCTGCCAGGTCCTTGTCTGTAAATATCCTTGTCTTCTCACACCCTGAGGCTCAGGGTAGACATAAACTTGATGCTATTCAGCCCACTGGAAGTGAGGTGGTAGCCCGGCCTGACCTGTTGGCCTCAGGGCCAGAGTCTTGGGTGCATGACCTGGCCAAGCCACCCCTAGGGAGTTGTGCAAGGCTGGTAGGACCAGGTCTGTGGGGTCCCCAAAACAGACTGTAGAAAACCGGGGGTTCCCTAAGATCCCAGCCTCCCACCACTCTGCCTCCCTGCTCCCATTCCTCTCTGCCTGCCACACCCTCCCTCACATTCCACCTTGTCTCTAATTAAGTTCTACTAGTTAATTGGGGGGTGAGCAGATACCTCAGAGAAAGCAGGGAACAGGGGACCATAATAAAGGGCCGCTCACAGCAGACGAAACCTCTCCTCTAGGTTAGAGCCTCTGCCTGGAGGGTGGAGCAGGTCCTGAACTGGCTCTAAATTCCCAGTCTGTTTTACTGCTCCCAGTGTGGCCCATTGAACTCAAGACTGTGGACCATGGTGGGGTCAGGGTCAGAGCCACCAAAGGCTCCGTGAAGTGGGTCCTCTTTGCTGTGTCCTGCCCTCAGTTTCTCCGCCAGCCAGTGGAGGCATTCAGGCTACTTCTCAGGAAATTACAGAGAAAGTGCCTAGAAGAATGGACCGTGTAACAGGTGTATGTGAAGATTTGCCTTTGAGAAAATGCAAGCAGAGAGTTCTTTCCTGGAGCAGAAGGAGGAAGCTTAGGGCTTGTCTTCCACTCCTATCTGTGGAATCAGACAACCAGTTGGTGCATAATGACGAGCATGTCATGGGCTGATGGTAAACAGGTCTGGAGCTTCAAGCTCGACACAGATCTGAACACTTCACCAGTGGCCTGTTGGCACTGCTGTCACCACTCACAGATGAGGGGTGGAGGCTGGAGGTCAGCCCACTGCCCATCTGGTGGCCTGGATTTGAACGAGGCAGGCTGAGCTCTGAGCCCTGCCATCTTGGACCCTGCTCTCCTCCCCCACAACAAACTTTAGTCAGGTGTCCTCCATGGCCCAGGTGAGGAGCTGCTGGTTTTCTCTTCTGCTTCTGGCTCCCTGGGCCTCAGATGTGGTCTCAGGCCAGTGATCTTGGTCATGTCCACCTGCTTCTATGGGTCCTTGATGAAGGGAGCTGAGATAGGGCCACAGCTAGGGGTGGGAGGCCTAGAGACTGCCTGACACTGCTCTTCGTCCTATAGGACCCTGCCGTGGCCATCCCCAAGGGAACTCTGATGGCCATTTTCTGGACCACTGTCTCCTACCTGGCCATCTCAGCCACCATCGGTGAGTAGCCGGCCCAGCTAACTGGGGCAGGACAGGAACCTGGCTCCTACCCTGCAGTGGCCCAGGCCCTGGAGTGGGTCCACAGGTGGGGCTTCACTTGAACAGGGACAGCCGGGCTGGAAGGATGTGGCAGCCTCAGGAAGCAGAGCCTTGAATTCTGTCCCTGGGGTGCCTGAGACCTTGGCATCTTCATAGTGAGGGAGACCAGTCTAGGCTCCTAAGGTCTCTTCAGACACTGAGGTTCCAGCTTTGTGGGCATGAAGATCCTGCAGGACAAATCATGCTCTGTCCCTAGGACAAGGATGATGATGAGGAGGAGGATGCCAGCAACTACCTTACCACCATCCAGCCGTTAACATGGCTTGCCACATTTAACCTGTCATTTCCCCCATTCTTCAGAGGAGAAAAATGGGGGCATAGAGAGGTAGAGTGACCTGCCCAAGGCCACACCGTCCTTGAGCAGTGGAGCCTGCCAGGAGCACTTGCTCCTAGTGACCACCTTGGAGGCAAGCTGTTCCCAGATGCCAAGGAACCTGGCTTCACTCACAGCCACTCGGGCCTTGAAAGCCAGGTCTCTGCTTTATGGAAGACATGGGGCAGGTTACTAAGTTCTGTGTCCTTTGCAGAACGGGAACAATGACAAAAATAACAGCACTTCCTGCTTCCCAGGGCTGCTGTAAAATACTCACCGTGGTGCCTGGCACACCACAAGCACAGCTGGTATTAGCTAGCACATCAGGACTATTGTTCCGTGATAAAGGAGGGCCAAGCTGTCTGCAGCGTCTCTCTCTCTCTCTCTCTCTGCAGAAGCAGCCACCATTCTGGGAGTAGGAGAGGAGGGCAGAGCAAAGAGGTGGGAGGAAGAGGGATAAGGGAGACCCCCTGCACCTCTTCCCTCCTCTCAGGCTCCTGTGTGGTCCGTGATGCCTCTGGGGACCTGAATGACACGGTGACCTCTGGCTGGGGTACTTGTGAGGGGCTGGCCTGCGGCTACGGCTGGAATTTCACCGAATGCTCTCGGCAGCACAGCTGCCGCTATGGCCTCATCAATTACTACCAGGTAGCAGGGCTTCTGCTCTGCGGGGCCTCCCAGAGCCAGGGCAGGCTGGGGTGACAACTGGGGGTTCTGGGCCCCGGCTTGGAGATAGGCTGTGAGCCCAGGTGGGGTTCCTGTGTCGTGCCTGTTTTCTGTCCGTGAGGGGCGGTGCCCAGGCGAGGGTGTGGACTCTGATGGAGGTGTGAGGACCAGCTCTGCCTGCAGTAGGTACTGGGGTGCTAGGCAGGGGCTCCCAGATCAGCCCCCACCATCCCCGCAGACCATGAGCATGGTGTCAGCCTTCGCACCCCTGATCACAGCCGGCATCTTCGGGGCCACCCTCTCCTCCGCCCTGGCCTGCCTCGTCTCAGCTGCCAAAGTTTTCCAGGTGAAGCCCCAGAAAAGGGCCACAGTGAAGGGGGTCCAGGTTGGGAGGCCCAGGTGGCGGGTCCCCTGGTGACAGCTGTAAATAAGGATTGTGTGACAGAAGTGTCTAGACAGAAGGGAGCAGCCCCCTCTGTGAGGTGACTGGATTTCCCATCACCTGCATTTCCCATCACCAAGCCATGACCCCTGCAGTGTGTACAATTCCACCTCCAATACCCTCCCCCTACCGCAAGACTGACCCCTCTCCTTTTGGCCTTGTCCTGTCTTCACGGTGGGGAAAGGAGGGATCTCATCCTACTTAAAAGAACCAGAAATTGGGACCCATGTTGGGGAAGTGCCCTGCTGCAGTCACAGACGGGGCCAAGCAGAGCCTGGAGTCTCAGTGGCCCCAGGAAGGGAGGAAGCGGGTCCCAGCCAGCAGGTGAGCGTGATGTTGGGTGCCCACAGTGCCTGTGTGAGGACCAGCTGTACCCGCTGATCGGCTTCTTTGGCAAAGGCTACGGCAAGAACAACGAGCCTGTGCGTGGCTACCTACTGGCCTACGCCATTGCCGTGGCCTTCATCATCATTGGTAAGCAGCTGCGTGGCTCCGCAGGGTCACAGGCCTGGCTCCTCGCCTGCCTACCCAGCCAGCCGAGCCTGGCTTCAGTGGGTGCTCAGTGAAAGATGCTTTTAAAAAAAATATAACCCAGGGCCTTACACACACTAAGCACATGCTCAGTAAAGAGCTCTGAGCAACGACCCTCCTGGAAGGAGACTTTGGGAGGCCACATGAGGTTTCCCCCTTCCCACCTGCAGGGAAGGCAGCTCCTGCACCATGCAGAGAGTGGACTGTTCTGTTTTGGTAGGAGAGACCTTCCCTGCTTCCCTGCATCTACATTCCAATGTCTGGCAACTGGGACCCTCCCCCTACCCCTTATGAGTTTAAAAGAATCTCCAGGTCACCTTTGGAGCATGTGTTAAGCTACCTGGTTCTTTCCCAAGGGCTGAAAGAGATGGCTGGGTCGACCTTGATGTATGAATTAAACAGAGCCAGGGTCTCACCCCGAGGGCGGCCTGAGGAGAAAATCTGTTAGGCAGATTGGCTTCCGCCCCTGGCTTTGCCGTGTGCCAGCTGTGCGACCTTGGATAAGCAACCTTACTTGGTTTCCTTCTCCGCAGAATGGGAGCAACAGTACATAATGCGTATGTCACAGATGGGCAGGAAGAGACCATGTGTGCACACACACAGTACCTCCTCATTAACTTAGCCAAGAAAGCAGAACTCCCTGGGAGAGAAGCAGCCACACCAAGCAAGAGCAGTGGCCAGGCTGTGACATGATGTCCCCTGTCCCTGCTCTGGATTAGGGTGCAGATAGGTGCAGGCGAGTCTCTCTGCATCCCACCTTCCTGCCCCAGCCGGCTCTCTGCCACTCAGGCTGGCATCACTGGTCACCAACCCGTAACACCTAGCAGCCTGAGGGAGGTTTTCCAAACTCTGGGTCCTCAACCCTGAACCAAGTGAAGAGTGGCAAGGCCACACCCAGTGGATGGAAAAGCCCAGTCAGGCCTGGACCAAGCCTTGTTCCTGCTGGCCAGGCTGTCACCTATAGACCACTGCAGCTCGGAGTCATGTCTACTCTGGATGGCTCTGACTTGAGTAGACCAAAGGTCATGGTCTCAGAGTCTGTGGGGCCAGCTTCTCAGGGGATTGGAGTCATGTGCAGAAGAGGTGCTTGTGTTGTTTTGGGATCCCAGGAGAGGCCACAGGGCAAGGAGTCACATTCCCAAGTTTATCCGTGGGCCTAGGGGTCAATGAGATGGGTAAGAGAAGGAGCCAGTTGTGAAATGAGTCCCTATTGGAGGTGGGACCGGGTCATATTGCTATGTACTATATAGTCCTTACTGGCATTTGTGGTCAAAGCTATCACAGCCACTGCCGTCAGTCCTGGCGAGCCTGATGGGGTCCGCCCCCACACAGCCTCCGTCTTCTTGGAAGATGGCAGCTTACAGCTTAGGAGACACAATCCCTTTGAACTTCAGAACAGGATGGGTGCATTTCACAGATGGGAAACTTGAGACTCACTGGGCCCTGGTGGCCCTCCTGGGGTTCCCCACCCAGGGAGGGACAGTGCTGGCAGTTCCTTGGTGGAGTCACCTGACAGGCTGCCCTTTTCCCACTGGGTCACTGAAGCGGAGCTCAACACCATTGCCCCAATCATCTCCAATTTCTTCCTGTGCTCCTACGCCCTCATCAACTTCAGCTGCTTCCACGCGTCCATCACCAACTCACCGGGTGAGCCAGCTCTTTGCCTTGTCCCCGGGGAGGCACCGAGGGCCGAGGTGTGGGGTGGGCTGGAAGTAGGAGGTGGCAGGCCAAGGTAACTCAGAAATGGAAGCCATGCAAAGGGAACATCTGTGCCAGCAACAGCAGCTCTCTGGATTCATGACTCTCCCTGGATTCATGCACTGTCTATAGTCGCAGAGCTTCTTCTAGCCCGTCTCCACTAGGAGTCAGGAGTCTGATTCACCAGAGTGGCGAAGGAGAATTTCCCACAGTCACAGACCCTCATATCTGGTGGAGCAGGTTGCACACTGCACAGCTCTGGAGGGTGCAATTCATAGTACAACGCATAGATTTCATAGATTTGTATGCTAGTGATGAAAAATTTCTGGCAAATGGCAGTAGAGAGACCTGAGGAAGGCCTTTTCTAATTAGCCCCAAATAATCAATGAGCTAGTTACAGGCTTCCTTTCACACGACCACAGTGTACATGGCGGCCTCAGGATCATGCCACGGGGCAGATGTCACGACTGGTATGGGGCCAGGTAGAATCGTGCCATCTCCCCTCCACTCACCCTTGGCTTCATGGGAGCCATGAGCTGGCATTATTGCTGACCCATATTTGGCCAGAGCTGGAGGCTTCCCCTGGCTGTGGCCTGTCAGTGTGGAATAACGCAGCAGGCAGGTGTGTGGGCCTCCCCAGAGCCTCCAGCCCAGCATCGGAGGAAGGTGGGCGAGGCCCCATGGGCCCCTGGCTGGAGGGGCAGCCTGGAAGCCCAGCCTGCACATGGTGGGCATTGCTGCACAGTCCTGCCACAGCTGTGGCTCTGAAGAGACTCCCAAATGGAGAGCACATCCACTGATGGGGCCACTGCCCAGGGTGGAGACCCTCGTTCCGATACTACAGCAAGTGGGCAGCGCTATTTGGGGCAGTTATCTCCGTGGTCATCATGTTCCTGCTCACCTGGTGGGCAGCCCTCATCGCCATTGGAGTCATCCTCTTCCTCCTGCTCTACGTGATCTACAAGAAGCCAGGTGGGTGGGCTCAGCCTCCAGCCCTGGGGGGCTGGGTAGGCAGGCTCTGCCTCAGTCTGCACTGCCCTCTTACCTCACCCCTCCTTGCGTGGCCAAGTGAAGCCCAGACCTCTGCTGTTAGGCCCCCCACACCCCAGCAATTCCCAGTTTCAAGGGCCTGAGTCCCTGCAAGGCCAACCTCCCACCTCTTGAGAGGTGGCCGTTGGAAGGACAGGAAGACAAAACTTGGACACTACAGGAGTGTCTACTGGCCCACAGGCCAGGGCCCTGGAGTGACAGCAATTTGTGGGTGGGAAACACAACTCCAAGACAGCCTAGAATTCTACATATGAGCCTGGATTTCCAGACCATTGTGAAGGTCTGTTTGTCAAGGCAAGAGAATATTTTGTAGAATTCAATACTCTGATGTGTAACTTTTGATTATATAGCTATGGGTACTTCAGCCCCAACCCCCCGAGCATCAGGGGCAGAGCTGGGGCTGTCCACCCACCCAGCAGCCTGCTGCCCAGGTGCACAATGCCCAGAGGTGTGACTGGTTTCTTCTGTCTTGCTTCCCACCACCCGCTTCCTTAGAGGTGAACTGGGGCTCCTCTGTGCAGGCTGGCTCCTACAACCTGGCCCTGAGTTACACTGTGAGTCTCAGTGAGGTGGAAGACCACATCAAGAACTATCGGTAAGCAGAGCTCCGATGCCCGCCATGGTCCTGCCTCAGAGACCTCCTGACCCAGGCTGGCCCAGTACTGCTGAGAGGGGCCAGAGGTGGAGGAAGGAGAAGGCTGGGGTGGATCTTGTGCAATGGGATTAAGCGAGGAAGGGAAATCGCTCTGTGCCTCAGTTTCCACAGTAGAAGCTGCTCTGTTGTAAGGGTCGCCATGAGGCCCATAAAATTACTAGCTCTACTCACAGAGGAGGACACCGAGGCATAGGGAGGTTAGCTACTGGCCCCTGGCGCCACAGATGCATTGGGTGTGGTTCTGACTGGATCCGACAGTGGCCCTTGACCACTCCACACAGCGCTCCCTCACCTGCCCAGATGACACGGACAGACGTTCTCATTATCACTTTCCATTCTATGCCATGCTGGACTGGGCAGGGCAAAGGAGAAGTGTTGGGTAGGGTGCTTGGTGGCCTGAGCAGGATGGACAAGGGAGACGTAGTATGGCAGCAATCAAAGGAGCCCTTGAGTCACAGCTGGAAAGATGAGTCTCAAAGCATAAGTGTACAGGGTCTTGCCCAAGGCCATCCTGTGCTTCAGGGTGACTAAGCAGACCTGTAGGAGCACCTGCTTTAACATCAGCACCCCAGTGGCTCCCACAGTGGCTCACACCCTCTTCCCTTCCCCTCCCCAGTCCCCAGTGCCTGGTGCTCACAGGTCCTCCCAACTTCCGCCCGGCCCTCGTGGACTTCGTAGGCACCTTCACCCAGAACCTGAGCCTCATGATCTGTGGCCATGTGCTCATTGTGAGTGTCCCCAAGAGGTGGGGCAGGGCCATCCATACCCCTGCAGGAGCTGCCTGGATGTGATGCCCACCCAGGGGGTGGGGGCAAGAAGGGTGGGTCAAGCAGATCCTCGCCGGGTCCCTTGTGAATCCAGGGCTCTCCCTTCTGGTCCCTCCCACTGGCCTCTCTCCCTCCACCCCACCTCTTCCCTGTTCCTTTCATCTCCCTCCCTCCCCGCTTTCCTCCTTCCCTCCCTCCCTGCTTTTTACCTCCACTAACTTTGTAAAGGAAAATAGGTAACCCCGGGGCAGGAGAGGAGCTAAATCTCAGGCCGAAGAGCAAAGGTAGCCCCGATATCACTTGCTCCTATCACCCACAGGGACCCCGCAAGCAGAGGATGCCTGAATTCCGACTCCTTGTCAACGGGCACACCAAGTGGCTAAAGAAGAGGAAGGTCAAGGCCTTCTACTCAGATGTCATTGCGGAGGACCTCCGCAGCGGGGTCCAGATTCTTATGCAGGTATGGTGGGTCTCGGCCTCCCTGTGCAACTTATGATCTCGTGTGACAGCTTGAAAGGCAGAACATCCTGGGGTCTAAATTCAGCTTCATTGTCTGACGCCCAGGACCTGGGCAAGTGATGTGGAAACTTGTGGGCCCTGTGCGACCTTGGTCAGTTCCTGCTTTTGTTTTTATTTTTTGCAGATATAATTTACATACAATACAGTGAAAAACCATGAAGTGTGTAGTGTGGTAGGTATTCGCATATAGGTAGCTTTCTCATGTGTAAAGTGAGGTACATGGATAAAATAATAATTAATTCACATGAACATATTTTTCCATAGTATTAGCTATTTCACAAAATTAAAAAAAAGTCATCTGGTCTCTTTCTGGGGTTTTGAAAATATTTTGGAGGTAGATAGAAGTGATAGTGTTGTGAACATACTAAACACTGTGAATTTATTAAAGGCCCCTGCAATGTACACTTGGGTTTTAATTTTATTTTTTAGTTGTACACTTTAAAATGGCCAATTGTGTTATGTGACTCTCACCTCAAAAATCTTAAAACATTAAGAAAAGAGAAATATAAAAGATGTATGAACTAGATAACCCAGGCACACACTGTTTGACATTCAAATTCAGGTCTCATGTTATGGGAATTTATTTATGAGAGAAGCAGCAGCTGGGATAACCCTGAACTAAAGGGACAGTCCAGTTGTAGGCCTGGCTGACAGAAACCATGGGGGTCACCTTGGCTATGGCTTCACCTGCTCACAATGTCCAGGCAGACAGGGCTGGAGGGACGCTGATTCCCTGAGTCTCCAGTGTGGATGGAGAGTGGTGGGCTGTACCCCACCTAGTCACAGGTCAGGGCTCAGGTGGCCCTAAGGCCTGATCGCCAGTCCCATCCCTCTGACCACCTCCCATCCCCCAATCCTGCAGGCCGTGGGTCTGGGGAAAATGAAGCCCAACATTCTGGTGCTGGGGTTCAAGAAGAACTGGCAGTCTGCCCACCCGGCCACAGTGGAAGACTACATCGGCATCCTCCAGTGAGTGAGGGCCAGGTGGGCAGCCTGGGCTTGGGGGATTCAGATCACTGGCATTTCCTGGGCCTGGGGAAGTGGAGTGGGAGCAGCGCAGGCTATAAGTTGAGTCCATTTGTCCAAGGCTGAGGAGGAAATAGGCAGACAGAGTCCCTCCCTGGCTTATGGGTCATGAGCACTAAGGTGGGCTGGGATGAGGCAGGTAACAGGGTGAGTGGGTCAGGTGTGGGACAATATGGATGGAGCAGTGGGGACTGGGGTAGACTGACTCTTGGGTACTTGGCTCTTGCTGACTGCTGTGCAGAAATGTGGCCCCAGTGTGGCTGGATCTTTTAATTTCCAGAGTAGCTAAGAATGTGGGTTTTTAGGTGAAGATGTTATACCCAGCTTGGGCTTCAGAAGGCCTACAGGTAACCAGTTTGAGTTCCCAGTGGTACCACTAGCAGACAGGCGAAACCAAGCTGCCCAGGACTGAGCTCCTGGGGATTTCAGAGTGGACTGCAAACCCGGTTTCCTTCAGCTCTTTGCTAAACACAGTCCAGAGAAGGCCTGCCCATGTTGTTCTTCTGCACTGGTACCGCACAGACAGGTGGTGTGCAGCACCCCTTGAGAGCTCAAAGCTGACTGTGGAGGCCCTTGGCCTGCTTCCAGGTCTGCTGCTAACTAGCTGTGTGACTCAGAGCAAGCACCCCAGCTGCCTCTAGCAAACTCACACTAGAGGTGGTGGAAAACCTGGCTTCCAACTCCAGCATTCCAAGACAGTCCAGAGACACAGAATTAGTGGAGTCAGAAAGGACAGTGCTTAGCCTCCTGGGTTAAACCCTAATGGTGCCACTGTGCCAATCAGGTGATCAGTATGCTTATAGGGCAGAAGTCTCCTAGACACCTCTTAGAACTGGCCTATTGCATGTCTGAGGCCGTTCCTTTGTTTGTTTGCTTTTTTTTTTTTTGTCTTTTTGAGACAGGGTCTCACTCTTCAGTTCAGGCTAGCCCTGAGCTCACTTTGTAGCCCAGGCTGGTCTCGAACTCGCAGTGATCCTCCTGCTTCAGCCTCCCAAGTGCTGGAATTACAGGCGTGCACCACCATGCCCCGCATGCTTTTGTTTTTATGAGACAAGGTCTTGCTATGTAGTTCAGCTAACCTTAAACTCACTATGTAGCTCATGCTGGTCTTGAACTCACTGCAATCCTCCTTCCTTAGCCTCCTGAGTGCTAGGATTAGAGGTGTGTGCCACCACACCAAGTTGAAGCCTTAGGACATGCCTGTGTGCACAGCTGCCCTTTGATTTACAGTTGCAGTGTATAATCCTAATCCCAGCTGGTCACGTCCTTAGTAGTACAATCATGGGTGACTTACTTCCTGAAACACAGTGTTCATATCTGTAAAGTGGAGATAATAGTGACCTTCCCGACCTCTAAGGGCAGAGTTGTGAGGACTGTCCAAATGTATCCAGAGGACAGGACATGACTTGATGCCAGGCCTGACTTGGTTCTCCCCTGCAGGGCACTGGCAACCCTCCCACTCTGAGGCCCAGAGGGGAGAAAGAGTATGGCAAGGGTCAGGGGCAATGTGAGCCATTTAGTCTTCTGGGAGCCAGGTCACCGCCCTCGTGGAAGCTGGAGCTTCGAGGAGCCTGACCCCATCTGTGTTAGTCAGCTTTCACGGCTGTGACCGAACACTTGAGAGAAACAACTCAAAGTAGCAAAGTATATCTTGGCTCACTGTTTTATACGTTTTTGGCTGGTTCCATTGCTGAGGGCCTGAGGTGAAGCAGAACATCGTGGGTGAAGCGTTTTGTGGGACAGAGTTGCTCACCTCCGGGCCACCAGGAAGTGGAAAAGGAAAGAATGGTCCAGGGACAAGATACGCTTCTCAAGGTCATGCCATGCCCACGGGACCCACTCAGTTCAACTAGGTTCCACCTCCTCTGCATCCATTACCTTCCAATAATACCAACATATTATGATCTCGTCACGGGATCAACCCCAGATGAAGTCAGAGCCTTCCTGATCCAATCACCTACCAAAAGTCCCATCTCAGAACACATGAGACTTCAGGGTGACATTCTGTATCCAAGCAATCACGCTGCCTCCTCTCTCCAGTGATGCCTTTGACTTCAACTACGGCTTGTGCATCATGAGGATGCGAGAGGGGCTCAACGTCTCCGAGGTGATGCAGGCACACAGTAAGTCGAGGGCTCAGCGCCCTGTCCGAAACCAGAGCAGGATCCCACAAAATCCCGCAACCTAATTTTTAATAGATAGATGGGAGAGAAGGAAAAATTAGTAAGGAATAAAAGATCACAGATTCTGAGAGCCAGCCCTTGCTGGTCCTTAGAGTCCATCAGATTTCCAAGAGGAGCAACTAAGGCTCAAAAAGGGGAAGTGACCAGTTTAAGAACATGTTTCCACCCAGGGCGGAAGGAGACCTGGAACTCTCAGCTCCCATGTCCTACTCAGTGCTTTTGTAACCAAATGGGATAAAAAGGATCTAGTAAAGAAGGAAAAAGGGAAGAAAGCAGAGGGGCTTGCCCACATAAAGATGCCGGACTAGGAAGATGGTCACCTAACTGTCATGGAAACTGGAAGTTTTGGTCTTGAAAGACATCTTTATGGCATTCTTAGGGACAGGAATGTTTTACATGTGAAAGCCATAGAAGGCTATGCAAGCTCTGCATCCATAATACTTAGAGGTGTAAAAGACATGAAATGCATGAAGACAGATGGAGGTGGAGCTGAGGAGACGGGGACTCTGTGTCTTTTGCCCAGAGGGGCTGTGTCACCAAAGGCAGAGGTGGTGCCTGGCCCGTGGCAGTGGCCTGTATATATTTAGGAAATCAATATTTACAGAGTCACTAATCGTGCTGCTCTAGGAACCTGGAGCACAGCAGGTACCAAACTAAGCCCCTGCCCAGGGGTGCTGACATTCCAGGGAGCACAGCAGACGTGAACAAGTGCACACAAGTCATCCCACACACAGTGTGTTCTGAGGAGGTGCAGAGTGTAGTGTTTAGGCAGGGAAGGGTCTTTCTGAGGACCAGGCTGTGTGCTGAGAGGGCGGGGCTGGGGAGAGATTGTTCCCAGGTCAGGAGCCTCTTGCACCATAGCCCAGAGGCAGGGCTAAGCGCGGCCTGATTGGAGGGGCAGGAAGGATCCAAGGCAGAGGTGACCAAGGGAGATTTTCTTCCTGGTGTTAGGGGAGCCCTGCAGATGAAGAATGCAGAAGTGACCCGAAGCCAGGGGCACTTGCAAACCTAGCTGCATCTCCTCTTTTGCAGTTAATCCTGTGTTTGACCCAGCAGAGGACAGCAAAGGAGCCAGTGCCGGCGGGGCCAGGCCATCGGTGTCTGGCACATGTCAGTCTCCACCCACGGGGAGGCTCAGGGTGTTGTTGCCCTGCGGGGCTGCAAGTGGTGGGCTCCTAGTTCCTAGAGCAGGCGGGCCCCATGGGGACTTGGTCAAGGGAAAATGGTTCTTCCTGTGACCAGTGGTGCTTGAATAACTGAGTAGATGACTGGCAAAGGGTTTGGCCATGCTAAAGATTGCCAGCTTGGTGGGGAATTTGGGGCTCTGGGGTCCAAGTCCACTGCCAGCCAGGTCACCCTTGGTCATGTTCGAATGTTGTGGGCAGAGGGGTGGGATGGTGTTCTCCATCCTCCCATTCCCTGGAGCTGGGGAGCCTGCAACAAGCATAGGGGTGCTCTGCAGTATCTGTGAGTGGCACAGGGGGATATTCCAGAGAAAGAAGAGACTGCTTCCTGCCAACAGTCTGACCCAAGGGGTACTGGGTTTCCCGCTACCTCCAGCCTGAGAGAGAAGCTGGGAGCAAGGGAGGAGCCTCTGGCAGCCCTGTGTGTCCACAGCCCCTGTTCCTGGTCACCTGCCTGAGTATCTGAGTCTTGGCACCAGAAAGGGCATTAGCCATGCTCTGGGAACTTCTGGCTGCTGCAAGTCCACCTGGCATGATGTGTGTCAAGCCCACCTCCCAGGGCAGTGGCTGTGTTGAGGCAGGCTGTGGGTTGAGCATGCTGGCCAGGCTCTGACCTCCCTCCCCTCTGGCAGTGGACCCTGAGGCTCTGGTGCAGGAGGAGCAGACCAGCACCATCTTCCAGTCAGAGCAGGGCAAGAAGACCATCGACATCTACTGGCTCTTTGACGATGGAGGTCAGCACCCCACCCTAGACATGGGTTCCCCACTCCCCTTCTGTGTCCCTGTGTCCCTGTGTCCCTTGTCCTTCCCTTCCTGGCCTGCTGTCATCCAGGCCACTGGTGAGCAGAGCAAAGCTTACAGCTCAGTAAGAGAGATTGGGCCCTAGTCCCTCCCATAGTGAGGTTAGGGGGAGTCTGGCTGGCCCCCTTTCTCTGGCCTCTAATTTTTCAGCTGTAAAATAAGATCGTTTCAGGGGATGCCAACATGAGATTGAACCTTTCAGAGGCCAACATGAGATTGAACCTTCTGGCTAGCTGGTTCTTAAGGGTCACAGCTGCATGACATAAATGGGGGGAATGGGCCAGCACACAGGGTAGCAGTGGGCATGTGCCTCGCTGTACAGGAACACACCTTCTCCTGTTTTCTTAAAATATGGCTCTCAGCTTGCTTGTTCCTACCTTTGTTTGAGCCCTGGATAGAGAGAAAATGCCCTCAAGATTGACCCTCCTTATCCATGGGTTCTACATTCATGGTTTGAACTCATCACAGAAAAAAAGTTATTTGTGCTGAGCACGTACACATTTTTCTGGTCATTATTCCCTGCGCAGTCAAGCATAGCAACTATTTACATAGCATTTACATTGCAGCATTATAAGAGATGATTACGGTAGGTGGGAGGTTGTGGGAGGTTCTGTGCACATTTTACATAAGGAACTCGGGTACCTGTGGATTTTGGCATGCATGGAGCAAGGGCCCTGGATCCCATTCCCTGCAGCTAAGAGGCTGAGCACTTGCTACACATATGTCTCACGTGGAGTGCTCTATGTACGTTAACCTAGTATAGTTTCCTTTACAAATAAGGAAACGGAGGCAGAGAGGATTATGCACTGATACCAGTTGGCTGGTCCCTGGGCTCATGTGAAGAGATGACAGGAAGAGATGAGGGATCCCAACCCTTGGTCAAATATTTTTCAGAAAAAGCCAGCAATCTAGATATCCTTGTGCAGTTCCACAATTGTTCAATGCCAGATTATTTATTTAAAACACTGTGCTGGACAAGTAAACCCTGGCCCACCAAGCACCAAGCATGTTAAGCAACCGGGGTTCAGTCAGGTGAGCTCTGATTCAGGCAGGGACACTGAGGTCCAGAGAGGGGAAGGGGTTTGTTGTAGCCGTGTATAATGGGAGCCCACAGAGGGCTCTTTCTTCTTGGCTCCTGGGGACCCTCCTTGCAGGCCTTACCCTCCTCATCCCCTACCTCCTCCACCGCAAGAAGAGATGGGCCAAGTGCAAGATCCGTGTGTTCATCGGGGGCCACATCAACAGGCTGGACCAGGAGAGAAAGGCGTAAGTGAGGAGGCAGCACAGGGTCACGTGGATGTGCCATCCGGGCTCCCCCAAAGCTGCCCACTACCTTCTCCCCCCATCCTCAGCCACCACCCTTGGTGGCCCAAGATGTCTCCAAGCCTAGGCTAGTTCTCTCCAGGCCAGAACAACGGTGCTTGGGGCTCTGGACAGGAATACATTTCTCTCCGTGTCAGAAACTGTTCTGGCTTCTCGTCCCCTCTTTCATAAGATGCAGATGCCCTGATCTTTGCCATAACAGGGAGGGGTATTAAGTTTTAAAACCACAAAACTCCGCAAGGAGAAATCTTGAGGACAGAAGGGCCCTCCTGCTGAGAAGTGAGACAGTGGTAAGAGACCTCTAGGGCAATGGCCCCAAAGTGTGAGTTGCAGGCGCTGGGGAGACCAGAGAAACCTTGAGTGGCCAGGAGATGGGGTAGTGAATCTCTCCAAGCTTGGTGGGATGTGACTTCATTCCCCTTCAACTCAGCCTAACTGGGCAAGAGAAGGTGTTCTTGGCTTAGGTTGGCCTGTCCTTGCCCCCAGCGACCACACTAAGCTCCGTGTCTAAGCAAGAGGAGCTGGCGGGGCTAGCAGCCTTGGCAGGTAATGGCGCCGGCCAGAATTTAGTGACACCAATTTATTTCCATGGGTTTTAATTGCTTCCTCTTGCTGGAAAGAGATGCCCTTTTCTGTTTAAAATTGTAATGTAAACTTTCCTTTTGAACTAGAGTGTACTGGTTTTTCATAATTATAATGAAAATATCTGAGGCAGCCTGGTCTATACAGAAAAAGGCTTATTTTGGCATAGAGCTTAGAAGGTGCAAGGTCAGGGCTACATCTGCTGATGATATTTTTGCTGGCAGACTGCTGAGGCCACACAGGGAGATGGGGAGCACACATGTGTCTGTGTCTGTCTGTCTGTCTTTCCCTATACTTTTTATTTTTAAAAAATTTTTTACAGTCTGAACATGAAACACAGGACCATGCTCATACTAGGCAAGTGCTCTACCGAGCAGTTACACCCCTAGCCCTGTTTTTGTTCTTGAAACATGGTCTTGCTAAATTGCCCAGATTGATCTTGAACTTTTCATCCTCCTGCCTCAGCCTCCCAGGTAGCTGGGACTGCAGGCATATGCTGTCATGCTCAGCGCTCCCTCTTTTCATAAAGCCTCCAGGATGCAATCATGGGGGCTGCACCCCAATAGCCTTCTGCAATGCGAATCACCTCCTGAAGGCCCCACCTCTAATCACCATAGTCAGATTCTGTCTCTACCCTCTTAATACCTCACACTGGGGCTTCATTTCAACATGAGTTCAGGTGACAAACTGTATTCAAATCATAGCACTAAGTCAGAGTGTGAGTTGATTTAAGCAGATGAGGAAGTAAACAGTGAGGCAGTTGGCACACAGGTGTAGAGTTGGCAGGAGCTGGCCAACGGCTGCTTTAGAGAGAGTTCAAGTTAGGGTACAGGTCGCGGGAGCGTGGCCTGCTTGGACAGGTGGGGCAGTTTTCCTACAGCCATGCAGGTAATAGCTAAAGGGAAGACCACTGTGTGTCTCTAGAGCCCTTTGCAGTGATCCTGGGCATGACACCCAGGGGCAGAAAAGAAGGTGACCCCCGGCCTGCACCACCCTCCTGCTATTCCAGGGTTATGCCTCAGCCCTGTGACTTTGGTCAGGCCTGTGTGAGCTCAGGGCAACCCGGAAGTCTGTCCCTTTGTGCTCCCCAAACTGAGAACTTTACCACTGGCAGGCCCCTTGTCTGCAAGGCCCAGAGCAGCTGCTAGGGAACACCAGCCTCTGTGACCCTTCAAGAGTATCTAGGCCAGGAAGGCTATGCCATAGTCTCAGGAGCCTGTTCCAGTTCTGGGTGGCAGCTGAGTTCCCTGAGGTTGGCTTAGCTCAAGGCTGTGACGTTGCTGGGTAACAGCATGTTCTTCATGCAGAGTTTACCAAAACTCCTCAGCCACCAGCCACCCCATGATGGGCCTCACGGTCTCTCTGCATGACCCTGGTCACCACCATACACTAGGACAAGTCTGCCCATAGCTCTGCCTGCAGAATTCCACTCCCCCAGTTCAGGACCCAGCCATGGCCTGACAGCTGGATCCCAGCCTGTGCTTCAGGCTCCTCTTCTCCCGCATACTCCATGCCATCCCAGCCAGCATTGCAGTGTCTCTGCTTTCGCCTGTCCCCTGGACCTTTGCTCATTTGGATTCTGCCTACGTGCGTGTGGCAGTCCTCAACCAGGGAGCACATCAGCGTCATGTAGGGTGTTACCAAAGCCACATCCTGCCCAGGGATCTGACTCAGTGAACAGGCTGGACCCAGGCAGGTGCATTGTCCTGAAGCCCCTTGGGTGATTTTAATGTGGGCACTCCCTGTCCCACCCTCTCTGCCTGTAACAGCCTTACCCACTCTTCACCATCCAGCCACATGGCTGCCTCCTCTGTGAAGTCTTCTCTGACTGTCACAAAGCACAGCTGGCTCCTCCCCTGTGAGACGTATAGCCAGTGCCATCTGGCCTGCTGCTCCTGCTGAGCCCTTATGTGCTATCTTCGCTTCCTCAGCCACTCTTTAATTTCTCTTTCTCAACATACCCACCCACTAGACCTCTGCTACTCAAAGTGCAGTCCATGCTCCAGCAACATTGCGTCCTAGGAATGGGCTAGAAATGCAGTCCCAGGTACCACCCAGGCCACCTGACTCAGAGTCTGCACTGTGACAAGATCTCTGACAGCTGTGTTGATGCATTAGAACTTGAGATGCACTAGTACAGAGATGATCTCCAGACGTTTGGGAAATTCTAGTCAAACACTTTTCCATGTGACTTGTGATCATCTGACCTACTTGATTGGCATTCCTTATCATCTGTCCTACCCCTCTGTTAGAAGGCCAACTCTGTTTTATCCACTGCCATACACTCAGCAGGTACTTAATAAAAAGTAAGGGGATGAGGCCGGGCATGGTGGCGCACGCCTGTAATCTCAGCACTTGGGAGGCTGAGGCAGGAGGATGGTTGCGAGTTCAAAACCAGCCTGGGCTACAAAGTGTGCTCAAAGGCCAGCCTGAACTGCATAGAGAGACCCTGTCTCAAAAAGACAAAAAAATAAAATAAAAACTAAGGGGATGAACATTAAAAATAATACTTGCCTTCCAGGATAATTTCTCTGCTTAGTAAGTTCCGACTGGGATTCCATGAAGTTCACATCCTTCCTGACATCAATCAGAAGCCGAGTGCTGAGCAGTGAGTTCTCTGTGCGGGGTTTCAGGCTGGAGGGCCACCTGCACGCCCTGTGGACCTCTCTGTCTGTGGCCGCACTGGCTTCTTTACCGCTCCTTGCACAAGGCAGACACACTGTGCCTCAGGACCTTGCATACTCAGTTCTGTTTGCTCTAGCACCCCCTGCCCTATGCAGTGCTGGCATCAGAAAGACTTCTGGTCCCAGAGAGCCCTTCCCACCCCTGTTACTTTCTGACCAATTTTACACCTTCATAAAATTCCCACTTTATTTACCTATTTGCCTATCACCCAGCTGAGCACTAGCTCTGTGACGGTAGGAGCACAGCTTGCTTGTGTGGCTGTTGTGTGGGACAGGACCTGGCACAGATGGTGCTCGATGATGCCTGAACAGAGGGGTAGGGACAGAGTCCACGTCGGTCACTGTGGATGGCTGTAGAGATTGGCTGTGTGCCAGATGTGTCATTGCTAAATTCCACGCAGAAGCCACTTGGGTGTAAACTGCCATGCCAGATGGGTTTTACTGCAAATCTGCCCCTGTGGCACACCTCCCGCTTCTTCCAGAGACCTGGCTCCCCTGGAGATGGGGCCATCTCAGCTGGCCTCACCTCTGCTCTTGTCCCCAGCACTAAGCGGTTTGAGGACATGATTGCACCCTTCCGCCTAAATGATGGCTTCAAGGACGAGGCCACAGTAGCAGAGATGAGGCGGGACTGTCCCTGGAAGATCTCAGATGAAGAGGTCAACAAGAACAGAGTCAAGGTACAGGCCTTGCAGGGCTGGGATTGGGGGTCAAGGCATCTCCTGTGGCACAGCTGTGGGTGCCTTGCGTCCTGAGTTTCCTGAACCCGTCTCCTTTTGAATCCTGCGTTCCCTTCCCTGCCTCTGAGTATCCTCAAGCCACAATTGCTGGGCTGACAGGTAACCACTGGCGGCACTCAATGCCATCCTTGGTGCGGGAGCCTGGTCATCCTGTCCTTTAAGTGGCCCGGTGGTGAGCATGGGCCACTCGGAGTCCTCCTTCTCCTCCCCGATTTCCCTCTGCCTGGAGGGAGGGATCTGTGACACAGTATGACAGTAGAAGTGTAATTTGTGCTGGTCAACAAAGCTGCATGATAGCAGCCTACACAGCCTGCCTGGTCGCAGCCCAGTGCTCTGGCCACTTCCTCCTTAGACGGGTGAGGACTCTGATAAGAGCCTGGCGCATGCGTAGCACAAGCCCTTACAGTGGCCACTGTGGCTGTCTCAAGGCGGAATGCACAGCCAGGAAGGCGGGGGCCAGGGCATAGATCTTGATTCTGCTCCATGTTCCAGGTGCATTTCCACCGCAGGCAGTTTTGCTCCCCAGGGGACATTTGTCAACCTTTGAAGATATTTTTGGGTGTCACAACTAGGGAACATGAGTGGCTCCTGTCATATAGCGAGCAGGCACCAGGGGCGCTGCTGAGCATCCTGCCACAGAGCGTCCACAACAAACAGCTGTCCACCCAAAGTGTCCAGAGAGGGTGCGGGGAACTCACTTCCCCTCAGGTTTTCATTCTCTTGTAGTGGGTGACCACTGCTCTCAGATCCTGGGTGTCAATCATTCCTGAATAGCTGGGAGACAGGCCTTGGGCTTAAGTATCTCCCTCCAACCCGGGCTCCCACAGGCTTTGGAGAATGCCCGGGTCTGTTAGCCAGGAGACCCTGTCTCTGAGGGCCCACATGGGCAGCTGGCTCTTTGGAAAATGCTGGGTAAGGCTAGCGTCCCAAGGAAGTTCTCTCACAGTCTGTCCCAGCGCGGGTAGAGCTTCCATGTAGTCAGCACCCTGGCTGGTGCTCTGCTGTAAATCATCTCCTTTGACCCTCCCCACACACCCCCGGGGAGGGCTTTGTCATACCCCCTTTGCAGAGACAGACAGTGGGGCTCAGGTGGCAATGTGACTTGCTCAGTCAAGCTGTCTCTGCTATGAACTAGCAGGACTGAGATGTGAACCTGGTAAAGGGCTCCCACTTCCCACTTAGAAAGACCAAGGAAGGCTTCCTGAAGGAGGTAAACTTGGCGCTTGATTACCATGAGGGTCCCTTTCCTCCCTGGGGCCAAGGGAGTGTATAATTCCTGAGGAGGAATAATTCCTGGCTCCAGTTGGACGTGGCAGGGTGTTCACTACTAGCAAGGATGTGGGAGGTGACCTCTGGGCTTCCCTTTGCCCAGTCCCTTCGGCAGGTGAGGCTGAACGAGATTCTGCTGGATTATTCCCAGGATGCTGCCTTGGTGGTCATGTAAGTAGCGCCTGACTTGGGGGAGGGCAAGCATGGCAGGTCGGGAAAGGGGCACAGGAAGTAGGACTGGCTGCAGCGAGGGGTCCACAGCCCCTGCAAACGCAGCCTGGCTGGGTTTTCAGCGTGTGTCCAGGCCCGTGTCTGCCCATCCCTCTCCCCTGAGCACCAGCTGGCATAAGTCTAGGCTGTCACGTGTCTCAGGTATAGCTGACTTCCTGTCCCTACTGGTTTTTCCTTCTTTGCTACCTTTACTTGCCAAACTTGGCTTGGCAGATGTGGGACACAGCTCATCCCAGAAGGAAATGCATTCCTGGTTGTTTGGGAATTGCTCAGCCTCCTTTGGATATCAGCCACCCCAACTGATATTGGTGTCAAGTTTGGACAGCAGGCACAGAGGCTTCGCTCAGTCCCCCTGTTCTACAGGGCCCATGCCCAGTTCCAAGCTGCCCCTAGCAGGTGTCAGCAGGGGTGAGCAAGTGGAGGTGACAGCAGCATAGAAGGGGTCTCAGTATGGCTCTGTGCTCCCTGAGGCACTGGGAAGATCAGCCAAGCCTCCAAATCCACAGCTCAGAGGGTAAGGAGTCTTTGCTGAGGCAAGCAAGTGCCCTTCCCACATTTCCTGGGCGCCCAGGACCTGGGTATTCTGCAAGACAGCCAGGCAGCCTGCTGAACCTGTTTGTTATGTCTCGTATCCAGGGCCAACAGTATAATTTGCAGGGCCTGTACACCATGAAAATGTGTGGCCCTGTGAGAGACAATCAGTAAGAATGTTGAGATGTGGTCCTCCTTTAAAACAAGGCCACCTCCTTCCCATTCTCACTTGGATGTGTGGTGGTGGAAAGGACAAGGGGTAGAAGTGGAACAGCAAAGCGTAGATGGACCACTGTCACCACAGGTGAGATGGATATGCAAGTTCAAGGTCATGATTTTCCACACTCATATGTTTGAACGGTTCCACAAATCTGCAAAGTACACTCTGCCATGGAGAGAAACCACACATGTGATACTGTCAGCAATAAGGGCTGCATAAAGCTTGCGGTTCTCTGAAGAGAAGGCGCTGAATTTAACATACACACTGTGCTTGGGATGTATGCTCATGTAGAGGGGACTTGAGTCCTGGGACATGACCCATGCCTGGCCATGTCACCGTCCAATGTGTTCTGCAGAAGCCAGGCTCTAAGGACACTGGTTTTGTACAAAGAGGGCTGTGAGCAGAGAGTCCATCGAGGAGACAGCTGGAAACTTCTCCTACAATTAAGTTGCACAGTTTCTGTGCATGTTGCATAAATCCTGCCCCATAGTTTTGGCAAGACCTTCTTTCAAGGGAGCGCTAGCTAGCATTGTTCTTTTAGGCAGCAAAGTGCCCCTTTGAGAGATCAAAATGGCAAATGGGTTCAATTCAAAGATACCCAGTGGCTTTTAGCAGACACATAGGAAAGCAACAGATGAAACCAGAAGGCATTCATCCCAGTAGACACGGGCAACAGGCAGCAGCTGGGCAGCCAGCCTGAGACCTGACTGGGGAGGCGTCTGTTCTGTCAGTCTAATCTTCAAGACCCTTGCGTATTCAAACGTTACTAACAGCAATTATACCACATTGACCAGATAGCAGGAGCATCTTTCCCCAACAAACAGCAGAGTTTGGTCAGCAGCAGAGTGAGTCAAGCTATTAGAAACATGCGTGGATGTGTCAGACAAGGTGGCACCTGCCTGAGATCCCAGCTATGCAAGAGGCTGAGGCAGGAGGATTGCTTAAGCCCAGGAATTCAAGGCCAGTGTAGGCAATATAATGGGAACTCAATGGGGAAGGAGAGAAGAAAGAAAGGGACAGAGGGAGCGGTATACTCCCATGTGTATGCAGTCAGGGTTTAGGAATTGTGTCTTAGTCTATTCAGGCTGCTATAACAAAATACCATACACTGGGGGGGATTATAAACAACAGAAATGTGTTTCTCATAGTTCTTGAGACTGGGAAATCCAGTATCAAGCACCAGCACATTGAGTGTCTGTTGAGGGCCAGCTTTCTTGGTCATGGATAACACCTTTCTTCTGCGTCCTCACACGGTGGAAGGAGCCAAGGGAGCTCTCCTGGGCCTCTTTTGTAAGAGCGTGAATCCTATTCATGTGTGCTCTCGCCTCACAGCCTAAGCACTTCCCAATGGCCCCAGCTCCTAGAATCTAATACCTAGCACCATCACACTGGGGGTACAGATTTCAACTGTGAGTTTGGGGGGACATATCACATTCAAGCCACAGCAAACGGCTCTGGTTAATCTTGGTCCCTCTCAGCCACTTTGCACACACAGTAGGTTGTACAGAACACTTATGATTCCCAGTACCCTGTGTAGTGCATCCCTTCAGCAGAAGAGTGGAAGCACACAGAAAGCTGACCACAGACAGTTGCCCGTCTTTTCCTGGGACCCTATGTCCCCTGACTCCAGATGTCTCCAGCACCTGCATGTGCTTGTCCTTTGTGAAAGCTCACTTTATGCATCACTCAGTGACATCACTTACAGTGCAGTCAGCTGAGCTGTATTTGCTCTGCTTTCCTGTGTCACTTAAGGCATTGAAAAAAAGTCAAAGTGGTGACAACAGTGCATTAAGCCAAGGGTGGCCCCTTCTGAGCACAGGCCCCATGGAGCTATGTAGTTTGCACCCCTGGGAGGCTGACTCTGCTGCGACACTGGTTCCCAGGGTGTTTGTTCAGGGAGATCATTTTTTCTGCAGTGAAAGTGCTCCTTGTTTGCTTGATTTGAGAATCGTGATAAGAAAAGGGCTGGGTTTAGCTCCCTGCCTCTGGCCAACACCCAGCAGAGAATGTTCGAGGGTGAGGTTGGTCTCGGGTGTGGATGAGGTCAGAATGCAAGACAGTGGCTTCATCCTGTCTGGTGGCTCCAGGCTTCTTAAGTGGGGAGCCTGGTGTGTGCGCCCCTCGGTGTACCCGCGCGTGCCAACCACAGCTTCGTGAACTCCACCTCTGTTCAGAGAAGCAGGTTTTGGTTTTGTTCCTGCCATTAGCTCACTGTGTGTCCTTGAATAGTAACCTCGTGTCTCTCTGGCCTCGGTTTCCCTCACGATCAAAAAATTACACTGAAGTATTCCCAAGGTTCTCTTTCATGCTAGCATGCTGTGTTCTAAGTTTATTTGCCATTGAAATGAATCCATCTCTCAGGCCATGAGTTGAAGAATTTGGTCCTGACAGGTGACCCCTGCTGGCTCCTCTCCCCTCCACCCCAGGACTTCATAGGTAACCATGCATCCAGTCACCGTGGAGAAGATGCCTGCACATACCCCACCCCACCCCACATTGGCAGCCACAGCTGATGCCCAAACGGGCCCTGGCTCTAGGGCCAACTCCATGGGAAGGTCAGAACAGCTACACTGTGTGTGTGGCTAATCCGTGCGCTGATACACACCTGGTGTCTCTAAAGGTGTGGTCAGGGCTCAGTTTCATCAGAACCGCCATGTAGAAAGTGCACATTCCTTAATCCCTTCCAGACCAGAGGCCAAGTGGAGCACAGAGCCCTGCATTCCCTGAAATCCCGAGAACAAGAAGCATCTAGGAGCCTTGGTGCACTGACAAAGTCACTGTCTACCATTTTGGAGAGCACAATGGGGCCATTTTTTAAAAGAGCTGGTTTGAGACTGTTTACTATTGTCTCCCGGTCAGCAGTTGATCTGATTAACGATTAACATTTTTTCTGCCAACAACCTTTGAGCTTAGCTATACCACAACAGCTGATAAACCAGCCTGGTAATCAGCCCAATAGCCTTTGACTAGACTAACAACCTCTCCTGTTGGGATCAGACACCTCTTTTGTCTGTAATGACTCCTCCTCAAAGGCCAGTAGTAACGACCAAAATGGTGACCATTGATTTTACATTTTATTAATTTGGCCTTATTGAGTTTCAAAATTTTATTTGAATCACCCTTAGCAGGCCCCTGTTAGGGATGAAGAAACCACTTCAAGAGTCCAGCTTTTTGCCCAGGACCTCACAGGTGGGAAGTGGGGCTGGGCCTCAGAGCCCGGGTTGGACTGGGTTCTTTTGCAGTTCTCACTCCAAATCGAGGTTAGAACCATGGCTGCCTCTCTTCATTCCCAAGAGCAATTCTGAACAAGTCGCTTTGTTCTGGGGTGGCTTTGTGTCTAAGGATTAGTCACCGAAGGCAGGCACGTCCTGTGCTCAGGAATGCCACGTGTCACTGATTGGAACTGGGGCCAGTTAAAGGCAGCTGTCCCTTGGACAGGTGGACAGGTTCCTGTGGGGGAGGGAACTACATGGGAAAGCTTGTAATCGACCGCAGGTGTGAGGGCGTGCCCTGCCCCCGCCCAGATCAGGCAGGCACCTGTTCCCTGGTGGCCTTTGAAGTTTATGAATCCAGTCCCTGAACATAATATAGTATTTCCCAGACCGCAGCATTCCAGCCTCTGACATATCTGTTATATCTGGAGAGTTTGGGCTTATTCTCCTATCTCTTTTTCCTGGAAGTCACTAAACCCAACTGAAATAACAATAGCTTATGGGCAGGCCCTGTCCCCCCTCACCTCTCCTAATCCTGGGGATTTTGCTTTTGAAAGGAGGCTGATGGTTGTCCCAAACGAAGCTTTTGATGGTATTTTAAGTATGAGACAGCTGTTTAGGGTCCCAACTGCCCTCCCCAGCCAATGGGATTGCAGTGAGCAGAGGCAGCTGGAGAGAAACTCTGAAGGCCTTGGTTGGAGCCTCCCTGTCCCGCCCATGTGATCATCTCCTGCTGCTGGCTAATAAGCAACAGCAGTGCTGCTGATGTTCCCTGAGCTTCCCAATGCCAAGCACGCTGCTGTGCCCTGTGTGCACTTCTTCTTAGAGCCTTCACGTGTCCTCACATGTAGTATCGGGGCTCCCATTTTAGGGGAGAGAAACTGAGGCTCAGGGCACTCTGACACTTTGTCAAAGCCACAACAGAGGCAGTTTCTCCAGAGCTAGGACCTGAACTCTGGGCCCCAGTGTGTCACTGCATCCTCCACCTGCCTGGCGTCCTTCGCTGCTGCAGGCCTGGCCGTCCCTGGGGCTGTGTGGGGGGTGGAATGAAATGACGGCTGTGGATGTACTTTAGAGAAGGCAAACTGAACAGCAAGGGTGTCGAAGCCGCTGCTGTCTGGACTTCACACAGTGCCAACTGGGGCTGTGAGACACTGCCTCCTCCAGCACCAAGGGCCAGGCAGCTGCGGCCATCCTGATGTATTTTTGGAATTTTCAAGATGATAGAAAAGTCACTTCCTGAAATAGCGGGGAATATATGACTGAGCAGCATTTGCAGAGCGTCTTGTTACTTGCACAGGGCTGTGTGGTTAGGATAAGAAGCCTCCAGAGGCCACAGCGGAGTCTGACACCGGGTAGGGGCAGGACAAGGACGATCTGCTGAGTCACACTGTTGTGGCCACAGGCAGGTCTGTGGCTGGAGAAGCAAGCCTGGTGGGCCGTGAGTGGCCGATGGGGTGGGATCTCCCGCTTCACAAATACACCGAGTCCGAGGGCATCATGGCATGTGCTCGTGGGAGAACGTGCATTCCTGTGGGAGGGGGTGAATAAGAACTTCCAAGGATGTTTCTCAGGATTCACAGGGCTACAGGGACAGTAAGCAGGACGCTAGGATGAAGAAACATGAGTGGGCGCCTTTGGAGAAAGCAGTCAAAGGAGATGTACTCAAGCAGAGATGAGTGATTTAAAGGAGCCAGCTAGATGGAGAGCCAGGGCCACCGCCTTCCAGGTGAGGCAGGAGCACGCCTGGTACTTACTTTAGGAAGGGAAAGAAAGCCACTGTGGCTGTAGTTCTGTAAGCAAGGCTGAGGGCAGGAGGAGGCGAGGCTGTGGGCATTGGTAGGGTCTAGATCATGGGGACATGCAGGCCATGCTGTTGTTTAGAAATCCTTCGTGGCTGAAGGTACATTCTTGGTAATGCTCTGAACGAGAACCAGGAGGTCTTCCTTAGGATGGATGAGAAGGAACGGGTTCTGAAGGGGACAATAAATGGGCTTGCTGTTCAGAAATGAAGCATAGGCTGGGCCACATAGGGAGACTCCAGGTAATTTCTCTCTGCCCCTTCCTGCCTTGCAGCACCTTGCCCATAGGGAGGAAGGGGAAGTGCCCCAGCTCCCTGTACATGGCCTGGCTGGAGACCCTGTCCCAGGACCTCAGACCTCCAGTCATCCTGATCCGAGGGAACCAGGAAAATGTGCTAACCTTTTACTGCCAGTAGGTCCAGGTGTGACCATCCCTGCCCACAGCCGAGGGTATGTGGCACAAGTTGGAACTCGACTGGCTCCAGTCTTAAGGACAATCCTCACATTGTGTTTGCATGAAGTTATAGCGACTGATGATCCAATTGCAAGAAATAGTAGGTTTCCAGACTTTGGCTGGATCCCACTTCCCCTGGACGTGTCCTCTGGGCCTTATTTTTATGAGAAGGAGAAGGAGCAGATGGAGTTCTATGGAAAGTTCTCTGGAAGATCCTATCTGTTTAAATATTTTCTTTTGATCTTGATGAGTACTAATTAAGATCTTTCAGTCTTTGATTTGTGGGCAAATTGTGCTGGGCATCATCTGGCAATTTCTACAGACCTTCCCTGGTCACAGTGCCCCCCAAGCCCTGCCTCCATCCTCCAGTCAAGCTGGGACCTGCAGGATCTCCAAGAAACAGGTCCTTGAGCCAGCAGGATATGTACACCTCTTCAGCCACCTCTCACTCCTGCCACATTCAACTCTGGTTCTTCTGTGTCTCCATGAGATTAAGGACTTTCAAACTTGTTCTGCTGCAACCCACAGTGGGAAATATCATTTTACACTGAGACTTGGAACACACACACGCAGAAGTGACTGAACCAAAAGTGTCATTGATAAGTTTTTCCAGCACAGTGTGAAGTAAAACAGAATAAAATACCTTTATTGTGGATGCAGAGAAGACCATAAGGAAAGAGAAAAATGTGGCACTTCTAAAGATCTTTCGTGGGATCCAAGGTTAAATAGCCCCAGGCTGGAGGCGGGGTTTAGGAGGCGGACCGCCTGACATGGCAGACCAGGATTGGGTGGGAGTGTGGGAAAAGGGAACAGGATATTACAGAAAGGGAAATAGGAAGTAGTAATTTGACTCAGCAGAAGAAGAGTGGGGCTTAGCACATGGCCTCGAGTGGGCAGCGCCATATTGGCTGGACACCATAGTAACTCAGCACCATACCACATGACCTCCAGTGCCATATTGGCTGGGTGCCATAGCAACTCAGCAGGAATTACAGTGGGGCAAAAAAACCAATCAATCATCAAGCAATACTTCTTATTCTGGGGGATATTCTCCAGTACCTTCTGTTCTGTTTCCTTTTTTTTAAAATTAATGTTGGTTGTAATCCATTAAAATTATTTTGGACCCATAAATGGATAGTGAAAAACAGGCTAGACTTTCCTTGTGCCCTGTGTTTGTCAGAGACTGGGCTGACTGGCAGAGGCCACCGCAAGATGTCTGTACTATTTCCCAGCTCAGCCCACAGGAAAATGGAACCAAGACAAGCGCAGGACAACTGGTGGAGGTTGGTGAGAGAGTGTGGGGAAGGGGCAAGATTTCAGGGATCTAGTGGACGGGTGTACTGTACTGTACCATGTATGCATGGTTAACCCTGCAGGGGTCAAGGGTCGGGTTACCCCCCCCCCCTTTTGTTTGTCTTTTTGAGACAGGGTCTCACTATGCAGTTCAGGCCAGCCTTGAGCTCACTTTGTAGCCAGGTTGGTCTCAAACTCACAACGATCCTCCTGCCTCAGCCTCCGGAGTGCTGGGATTACAGGCGTGCACCATCACGCCCAGCTTATGTTGTTCCAGTTTTGTTTTGTTTTGGCTTGGTTTTTTTGGTACTGGGGATCAGACTCAGGACCTTGCACTTGGCATGCAGGCACTTGTGCTGCTGAGCTATATCCCCAGCCCCACCTCTTAATGATGTGTGAGAAAAGTTTGTTCATATTTCTCAGATCAGCTGCAACTGCCACAGGGTTATGGGTGGGGGACAAAGCTATGGAGAAAGGAGAGGGAAAGAGGGGCATGACAATGGTGAGGTTGGGAAAGGATCAGACAGGAAGGAACTGCTCTAAGCCCATCCTGGGGCCAGGTGAAAGGAACCACCAGCAAGAGAGGGAAGGCAGCCGGTGGGACCTGGTGGATGTGCATGAGCACATGAGGGTGGGGAGAAGCTGGGCAAGATGGAGGTGGAGAAGGACTCGGGCCTAGCTCAGGGAAGGGTGTTTGGGTCACCCACATGCTGACACCCACAAAACTAGGGTGCAAGAATGGAAGGTATACTGTGCAGATGAGGCTAAATGAAAGAGCATTTGATTTTCTAGACTTAACTAGGAGGCATAAATCTGAGTTCAGTGATGTGGCTGGCCGTGCCTTCAAATGCCAGCAGGGTGACTGAAGGAATGGAGCATTTTTGGTGGGGGAGTTGGCTTCCTCCAAGGCTACTTACTCACGAAAGCTGTCTCCTTTTGAGGTTAGAACCTGAAAGACTTTAGCATTTCTCAGGTCCTTCCACTCGAAAGCCTAAAAACCCTGAGCCTAAAGTTCTCACAATGCATCCAGGCTTGCTGAGAGTTGCAGAGGATGGGCTGAGCTTACCAGGTACAGCTGCTCTGCTGCCCAGGGCCCAGGGCCCAGGAGAATGGTGCTGCTGAGTGTGCAGCTGGACCCTGGGCCCGACCCTCACTGCTAGATCCTGCAAAGCCTCGCTAGAGGATGCTTGCCTTTCTAGAGCCACATGGAGCTGATTTCCTGGCAAATGAGTTCTACTTCTTCACATCATGGGCAGTGGTGGTGAACCTATGGCACGTGTGCTGCAGCGGGATATTTGTTATCACTGAAACCTCTAGAAGGTTCACCATCATTGCCCTACAGAGTCCCTGGTCCAAGAATAGAGAATGTTTTGGTTTAGGATATTAAGAACAACAGTGCATTTTAAACAGTGATAGTAGTTAACAGTGAAGTCCAAAAAGATGAACAAAAGCCACTCAGTCCATACAATTTATTTGTTTTGGAACACACTGTTCTTCAACTCTGCTGTGTGCTTTGGAAAATTAACTACTGCTTTTGCAACCCCTGGTTGAACTTTTCCCCTGATTCTGGAGGTCAGACTGTCAGATTTCTCCATGAGTATTTATAGTAGCCACTTATTTTCCCTGTGCTTCTCTTATATGCATTTGCAGATTTGCAGGAGACCGATTCCCTTAGGCTTCCTGGAAGCGTCCCAGCAGTTTGGGTTTTGCCACAAACTGATAGGTAGAGAGGTTGAGCAGAAAAAGCCACAATGTGGCCACCAGGAAACCTGGACTTGGGTTTCTGCCTCTCTCCAAAATTGGCTGTATGACCTCAGACACACAGCTTAGCCTCTCTGGGCCTCAGTCTGTGGAATAGGACAACTGGACCAGAACGGGCATCACCAGCCAGGTGGACCACCAGTGACTGTGATTTGACCCATGCAAAGTTGACCAAAATTGTCGATATAGCCAGAGATGGGGAGGTGGGGTAAGGGCGAACATCCTTGCGTCCCCCCCCCACCACCTCTTCCTGCCGCTCCCCCTGCTGTGGGAGATTTGCACCAGGCATCTCTGAGGCCAGCAAGGGAAGAGATTCAGTCTGCACTGAAGCTCCCCTGCCTCTAGATGACCACAGGTTTCGTGGTGTTAAGTGTTAAGGGTGAGAAGCATCCTTCTTTTGCTGTGCATGGAAACCTGGCCCTGACAGAGGTGGGTCCTCAGAGCCAGGGAAAGGTCTCAGCCAATGGCCACAATAGTCACCACAGTAGAGGCTCTCACTTCTCTCCCCCGGGATCCACTGCCCAGTTAGTTAGCTCTCAGTTGCCCCCTTGGTATTTCAGTCTCCTGATTTAGTAACCTCCTCCAGTTCCTGCCCAGACTTGTTGCAGCTTCCAAGTAAGTACCATGTGGCCCATTTTCTGCCCAGCAGCCTGCTGAGCTCCACTTCCCCAGGGGCAGAAAGTGGGGCTTCATTAGCACATGGAGAGTCCCAGTTTGGATCAACTTCCCTTTCAGACACTTGCCTGGCCTCTCTAGCATGGCTAAGGGGAAGTGAGTTTCACAGGGATGAACCCAGATGGAAAGTTCCAGAAGAACCACCTGTCTGGAAGGCCCCAAGCCCATGCAAAGCAGCCAGGTTTCGATTGTAACTGTGTCTGGCTCAAGTTGTCCAAAAAAAGTGCTGTCAGCTTCAAGAATGGTCACAGAAATGGGGCCCAGGAAAGCCCAGACACCAGCTCTGTTGGTGATTCCCCTGGTTACAGAGAAGTTTAATCCTATGACCGAAAGCACAGCTCAGTTCGCACTTCCTGAAAGGCAGCCATACCAAATTCTGTTCCTAAAAATACTCAAGGAGAACCACCTACCAGGAGGCCAGAGAGCAGAACGTCTTATGGAGGAAAGACAGTGGCAAGAAAGGACGCATGTTTTTGTTGTTGTTGTTGTTGTTGTTTTGATACTGGGGTTTGGATGCAGCACCTTCGTACTAAACTACATCTCCAGGTCTTTTCTTATTTTTTATTTTTAGACAGAGATGTCTCACTAAGTTGCTAAATTGCCCAAGCCAGGCTCAAACTTGAGATACTCCCATCTCAGCCTTCCGGAGTACTGGGATTACAAGCATGCACCATAATGCCCAACTAGGATAAATGCTTTTTATTCCAGTTCATAAGAGTTGTAAATAAAACACTCTTGGGTTATAAAGCAGGGAGCAGACATACAAAGTCAAGGGGAGTAGAAAAGTCTCTGAGGAGAAAATGGTACTTGAAAGAGATTTGAGAGAGTGACAGGATGAAATGGAAAGAGAGTGAGAGCTGGGGTTGGGAGACAGCATTCTAGGTGGCAGCAATAGCTTGAGCAAAGGAGTGAGGACAGCCCTACGTGTGCCGGGGAAATACAAATAAGCCAGTTCTCTGGGAGTGTGAGAAGTGTGTACATGGGGAGGTAAAATTGCAAAAGTCAGAATGTAGAGAATGTAGAGGGCCCAACTGTAAGGCTGAGGAGCTCCCAGGTCATCCAGGGGTGCTAAGTGCCCCAGGTGAGGGGACAGGTCCCAGCTTTCAGAAGCTTGATTGGCCAGAAGATGAGGAAGTAGGAAGAGAAAAGGCAGGAGGCTCAGGGAGGGGGCTGTGCAGAAGGTGCCTCTGAAGGTGAGTCAGCAAGGCTCAACACTGACAGATAGATGGACTACAAAAGAGGAAAGCTATGGAGAGGAATTGGCAGATAGAATCTTCCAGAACTGTCTGGATGGGTGGATGAATGGAGACAGGGCCCCAGAAGCTGAGCCCAAGCAGTCATAAGAATGAAGAAACCATGTACTATGGTGGTGGAGTAGCGTGACAGGCTTAATGCCGGAGAGTATGTACATAAGTCTGGGTTTGGTTCTTTACATGAGTCTGTCCAGGTGGTCAGAATTGAGGTCCTGGAGCTAGGGAAGAAGTAAGACTGGCCCAGTGTCAGCCAGTGGTAGTACCATAAATAGATTTGAGAGTCAGGCTCATGACCAGGGATATAGAAGCCAGAACTTACTAGAGACAAAGAAAGAAAGCACAGACAACAGAGAAAACTGAGGCTGCGCCCTGGGAAGGGATGTATTTAGGGGCATGGAGAGAAGAAGCAGCCACTGGGGTAGCCTTGCAAAGCACACTGGAGAGGTGACAGGAGGAGGGGACTCCAGATAACCGGGAAGGCACCAGAGAAGGGTGAAGGAAGAGTGCAGTAGCCCCCGCAGAAGCTCCAAATGGCTGAAGCCACAGGAAATGCTGCTGAGTTTAGCACCCTGGGCATCACCTGAGAGCCTTGCGGGGAATAAGTTGGTAAAGTGGTGGACGAGGGCCCCGGGACTGAGGAATGAAGGTGTCAGGAGAAAAACAGAAGCCACGCTTGAAGACCTTATCCTTCAGTA